GCTCTTTGAGGCCAAGCCCCTAGCTCAATTACTATATGGCGCATGATCTGGACCCCCCCCCCAACCTTGCACAACTGGAATTGTTCAATCTAAATTTTTAAGAGCAATTTCCCAAGTTCCTCACTGTGTCTCCAATGCTTCACTACACATGGAGGCTGGAATGGTGAGACTAGAAGAACTGTGTTACACTACTGGTTGAAGCTGACACTTTTCCCTACAGGCTTAGCTCCACTGACCTTAGAAGGCAGATTTCAAAGTGGGTAGAAAAAAGCAGCTTACAACAAGCTCTGTCTCCTAGGACTTTCCCCCACTTACTTACTGTCTCTGGGCTATGAGCAAGCAAGGGCCACATTTAAGCAACGTCTCTTCACATAGACCGTCAAACAGTCAGCTTGCTATGGCGGGTAGCCATAGAGTGATTTAATTGTGAACCGCTCAGAGTCACCCTCTGGGGGAGATGGGCGGCATATAAATTTAATAAATAAAAATACACTCTGGCACTAGCTATGTATCTCATACAGCTTAACATCCCAGATCAGAGACGGGCCTTTACCTTCTGGCTGGAAGCTACAAAAAGACACCATAAACTTGCCAAGTTTGAAAAACACTGATTTAGACCTATTTCTGGGCAAATAATGGGGGGGGGGGTTCTGTCGAAATGCTGACGGAGCCCCCAATTCCCATATTTTGCTAGCCAAGCCATTTTTCTCTTCCTGTTTGCAGCCGAGGATTAGAAAGCTCATGGCCCCTTTTCCCACCCGCCTCCCTCTTTCCTCCCTGATGGCCACCAAGAGTCAGTTCCCGCTTTTTCACATATATATGTGAAAGAATTTTAATGTTAATTGTGAGCTGAAGAATTTTAAATGCGAGCTGCCCAGAGTCACCCTCTGGGGAGAAGGGTGGCATATACATTATGACTCTGAGTGACCAGCCATTAAAATGCTTCCACCCAACTGTTGTGTGTGTGTGTGTGTGTGTGTGTGTGTGTGAACAACTGATGTTGCTTCTTCTGGAGACCTTGAAAAAAAACCCACGCTTGGGCAAGTAGTAGTTAGCAAGCCAGTGTCTAGGAAGGGATGTCTCGGGGGTGAATTAAACTCCAGAGGTAACATCACGAATGGCGCCCGATCCTTTTTCCTTTCCTCGCGCAGCTCTAGCGCCTTTAACAGCTCCGCCACAGAAAGCGGGGTGGAGTCGGAGAGG